CCAGAATTATAGACCTCTGGGTAAAGCACTGTGCTGGGGTCTCTACAACAACCATTCACATACATTTAACTGGAATATATGGCAGATCACTTGATAAAGACACATTAGCATTGGACCCTTATGCCCAGCGGATCTATGCGTTAAGACGGCCCTGTACTGGCCATAAGTGCTTAAAAGATTCTGGTGCTCCCATATATCGGTAATTCAAAAAATAAACAATAAAAATGTCCCTTTTACACGTCTTTAGGCGTATCTTCTTCTTTAAATTGCGTATCCTTTACAGGACGTTGCAGAACCACCGTAACAGCCCCTGGCTGTTGTGTGGTTTCTCTAGGTAATTTACATCCAGTAGTTTGCCATTGCTTGCTGGACGGTCGGCTTTCTTGATACCACTGTCGAAACCAACACAAGGCGCATTGCCCGCAGCTGGGATCGAACCTGGCATCCCGGCATTACGAAGCGAAGCGTTCGCATCGACTTAGCCACAGAGCCGACCTTTAGGCGTATAGTATTGGGAATATTGTGATAGATCTATATTTGTATATACAAATCGGCACTGGGTGGGGGATGTGGTCAGCATCACGTCAGCCGCCTTTACTTCCCAGGACTGCACCTGGTACCCATTCAAGGCTGGGTCGACCTGGGAGTCAAGGTAATTTTTTTTTAAGTCCGGCTCCCGCGGGACGCGAACCCACGACAAAATATAAACAATAATCATATTAATTAGTTGCGTATCCTTTACAAAGTTTCAGAACCAACCCAAGCACTTTCTGGCTGTTGTGTTTTCTCTAGGCAAAGTTACATCCAGTAGTTTGCCATTACCATTCTGGACGGTCGGCTCTCGGTACCACTGTCGAAACCAGCGCTAGGTCCGCATCAGGGATCGAACACGGCACTCCAGCATTATGAAGCGGGTTCGCAACGCCTAAGCCACAGAAGCCAACAAACAAAAATAAACCATAAAATAAAACTTCATTTCTTGAAATTAATCAACAATTTAGAGTAAGATTTAAAAAAAAATATTTATCTTCGATTAATTCCAATTTATTAATAGTTGAATAGTTTTTCCTAATTGTTTCTTTTTTTTTTAAATGGCAGTCTTCGATCACATCTTCAAAAATAATCTAATGTAACACATCGGCTTCTGTAAAAGAAATCAGGCCCTCAGTCGTTCTTGTTGCCTAATTGTTCTGACGGGATTTTCCTCAGCTGATAAAATGCAAGCTCGGCTTAACAATTTGTAATCATTAATGTTAAAAACATAGGACAGACAGTGTCTACATTTGAAAAGGCACACTCAACATTGTCTTCTGTAATTTTTTTTTAATAAAGTTCAACATTACTGAATCTTGTTTTTACATGTTTTTATTCCACTGAACCTCTGGCGCACATATGAATGAAGCAAATGAAGCTCAGCTGAGAAATTAATGTCGAAATTCTCTGGTCAAGCATCAGCTAACTTTTGACAACACTGGGAATACCTTTTATTGTAAGTAGATGATAAAGTTACATTATGTGGCACATCACTTTTAAAAAATAAAATTCTTTGCCATTGCTTCGTTTATCTGGCTTCTTTTTTTCTCAGTTTCATCAATTGTATAAAATGTGGTCATAAGAAAATATATCATTGAGCATTCAGATATATTTCTGGTGCATCTTCTACGTCATTCGGTACTTTCTTTCTGAAAGGTTTGTGAGCTTCAGCTGCCTTGTAACCAACATCTGTTAGCATTTTCTTTGTATGGAAAACTTCCAAGGCTATGGAAAATTTGCGTGGCGCCTCCTTCCTTCGATGCCCTAAACACTTAATAATTCACCCTGTGTGCACTCCGCGGCTCCTAGTTGCATTCTAACAATGAAAAAAAAAAAAAAATTCCTCTTCCTCTGTCCTTATTTACCTAGAGCGGGGAAGAGGGGCAAAAAATGACCCGCGGACCAGACCGGTCCGCCGAGCCATTTTTCCTGACCCACTGGACTGGCGTAAAATTACTATATAATCTGGCCCTTGAGCTCGTAGAAAAGCAGAACACAGAAACACCCGTTCGTGATTGAATGTGACCAGAGGCGTAGCAAGGAATACTAATTCTTAGATTATTCCACAAAAATTTCGTGTGCCCAGGAAATCTGGATGTTATATTCACAATGGATTTTTTTCTATATTACCCGCGACCAGGTTGGTAATTTAAAATTTGGCCTACTGACCAACAAAATTTGCCCACCTCTGATCTAAGGGCAGTGGTATATATGGACTACCTATTTTTTCCCCTTCATTTTTAGTTTAATATGTTAGTATATATTTTATGTGTTCTTCGTTGTTATTGTTCGTCGGCTTTTTTCACCAACAGGCCTTCAAACATTTCTAGATTATGTTTTCACCTATGAAAAGTGGCGCATAAATCACGGAACTCTTTCCCTGAAAGTTATTAGTGGGTAAGAAATCCCCTGTAAAATTGTGCAGTCATCTAAACGCCCATCAACCCATGTACAGATGTTCCCTTTTAAAGTATCACATGTTTGAGAAAAAGAAATATTTTTCGCAGTGAATAATTTGGGACCGGTATTCGGAAGAGTGCCTATTTGTTTATACATTTATGTCGCCCGGCTCTCTAGCGAAGTTGGTTAAACCTGACTTTCGCGGCGGCCGGGTGACGAACTCCTTGTGGTCCGGGTTCACTCCCGGGGGTAGGCAGAAAAGCCACATTTCTCCCAGATTAACGGTACCTATAATGGAAGCAATGCCGAAGGGTTGCGAAATCCATAGTACCGAGCCATGGGTTTACAACTCATGGTTTCTGGATACGTAAAAAAAAAAAAAATACATTTATGTCAATAATATTATTTGTAGCTATTCAGCACATTATTATTACACACTCAAACAAGGCTAGGTGGGAAACAGCCTCCCCCCCCCCCCCCCCCCCCCCCCCCCACCTACCCCCCCCCCCCCCCCCCCCCCCCCCCCCCCCCCCCCCCCCCCCCCCCCCCCCCCCCCCCCCCCCCCCCCCCCCCCCCCCCCCCCCCCCCCCCCCCCCCCCTGACCCCCCCCTCCCCCCCCCCCCCCCCCCCCACTACTAACAGACAATTTGTAATTTTTTTTTTTTTTCAGAACTCTTGTCTGGGTTCAGATTGAGTCTCTTGGTCATTGTTTAAGTCATATTAGTAAACACATGTACACCCGTCTCCGCATATCCATCCCCATGTCTATGGTGCTCTTTTATCTGTTAGCCCGTTTATTTTAGTAATTAGGAGATCTTTAGTCTTCACAATTATTTAATAGAGGATATGTTAGTCCAGTGGTCTCCAACCTGGGGGAAGGGGCGCAAAGAGGTATCAAAGGCGGGAGGGGGTGGAACTAGTGGAAGGGTTGGAGGGTTGGAGGGGTCAAGCAATTTTGAAAGTGAGTTCATTTGTTCTTGTAATTAATGCATTATACTTATTTTTTTTTCCAGTTTTATTACAAAAATAATATTTGTTCGTTACAGTTTGTTAAACAAAACGACAAAGACATTATTTCATGAGCAGTTTGTACATCTGTCCTTAAAAATCTAATTATTATGACAATACGCGCATTTAATTATAGATTAAGAACACATTCTGGCCAAAAAGTATCTGTTGCGAAGTCTTTTGTCCTCCTCTTTTTAATCAGATTTTCTTAATGTTGTGGGGGATGGCGTGGAGTCTAGCAATGTACTCAATGGGTCTGAGCGCCCACCGAAGTTTTGCCTTTGTGGTGAGGACTTGGCAACCCCCTCCTTCTCCTTTCCGTACAAACGTCTTTTTAATGTGGGGGTTGGGGGGGGGGGGGAGTGTCTAAACAGACACCGCCATCAATTTTTACTAAGTTTCTAAAGCGGAAAACTACTCAAGGGGGCGCGAGCTGAAAATGATCGGAGATCACCGTTTAGTTCATGATGACTTTAGCCTATATCTTCTGTTTTTAAATCTGACTTCCTGGTATTCCGAGTCCTGAGCACCACCTGTTCAACTTTATACATGAACTTTACAGACAGCGGGTTGGTTGCTAAGGGCAAATGTAATTCCCAAAGATACCCATATCTCCAGGTCGATATGTATCCTTTACAGGACGGAGCAGAATCAAACCCAACATCTTTTTTGGCTGTTGTGTTTTTCTAGGCAAGTTTACGTCCACTAGTTTGCTATTGCTTTTTGGACGGTCAACTTTTCGATTCCACTGTCGAAACCAACGCACGGCCCGCAGCTGGGATCGAACCCGGCACCCCGGCATTACGAAGCTCGTTCGCAAAGCCTAAGCCACAGACGCCGACTCTATGTCAATATAGCCACTTTTTATCCTACGCGCCCACCGATAGTTTCTAACAACACTGAACAAGTTGGGGTCATATTAAGGTCATAGGTCACCGGCAGGTACAGGTCGTCACCTTTTACGAAAAATCCATTTACTTTTAACACCAATATTATTTTTTTTTTTTTTACATATAAGGTATAAAAATGACTTTTGAGCAGTTATTAGTAAACACGTATATATAGTTTACACGGTAATGCGAAGATACTCTGAGCTTATGATGTCACTTATTTATTTATTTGCACATCAGCAAATGTTCAAGGCCATTGCCTTTACCGAAACAAAACAAATCACACAGATTTAGTGAAATAAAATATGCACAGCCCTATGAGAGATACTAATAAATAAATGTCGAATTTATGTTGGATAATGGGATTAAAAATAAAAGAAACGTAGAAAGAGAGAAAGAGCAGCAGAAAGGAGTCAGGTGACCAGTTTGTTTACGTCGCCAGTACAGAGAGAAAGGTCTAGATAAGGACCAATCAAATGCAACGACTAGCAGAATTGTAAACACGTTCGCGGCGCTGAATGATACAACGCAAACTTTAAGCATTTCATTGTTTCTTACGACGTTGCTATTTGTCTAATTGCATGTGTTTTTAGTGCATAAAGTGGTTTATTACACTGTCTTTGTCGTGGGACAGTATTTGATGGTATATTAGTTTGTTGTTTGCAAAACATGTCTGCAGAAATGGAATTCGTTTCTGATGCTGTCCAAGATGGCGTTTCTGACGACTTGATAAATGGCATGGATGACGGCTTAGAAGGCTTCGACGGGTTAGGTGAACTTTCTAAAGACATTGCATCTAGGCCGATAAGGAAAGCGAAACGACAGCTAGGGAGACACAGTCCAGGGAAGGAAGTAGGGCCTGATGGTGCTGCAGTGCAGCCGAAAAAAACATTACCTTTAGCTAAAAATAGTCGAAAGTCTCGAAATGGACGGGGCCGTGGGCTTCCCAAGAAAGGTAAGTTATAAAGGGAGAAACTATTAGCTTTACAGTTAAAGTTATTCAAGTTGTGGTTGAAGTAGTTGAATGCTAATTGCTACACACTGTTTGCATTAATGTTTGCTATGTACATGCATTGAAAATGTCTTATTGAATATTTTGAAACTTCCTGTCAAAATCACATGACGTACTACTACTACGCTAAAACTGTGCATAGTTGAATATTACGTACTTAACTACCTTGATAGTGTTGTTAAAATGAAATGAGATGCCCTAACTGGATGGTGTTGTTAAAAGGAAAGGAGGTGCCCTGACTGCCAGGATGAAGGGCAGTGCCCTGTTGATCTGCTAGCTTCTGCTAAGCTTCCTGTCTATTTCATGAATGCATGCCTCATGATGCCAGATTGCATTTCTTTTTAAAATGATGGCATAAATTAGTTTGTTGGTTTTGCATGTAAATGATTCTATGATTTGGAATGCATGGTTTACATTTTTAAAGGCATTTAGATGCGAGAGGAAAAGCTCTGTTGCACCAAGTTTGATTCTATTTAGCTCAGTCCCTCTTGCCACAAAAGCTTTTCACACACCAAGACTGTTGCCTAACCTAAAGCACAGAACTCCATAGCTCCAGGAATAATCTCAGGGATCTTTGAAACAACTGCATTAATAAACTGAAGGACAGAGAATACGATTTTAAACCCACAACCTTCAGAATACAACAAATAGCATAACTACATCACCATCGAGATTCTTTTTCCTAATTTAATATTTAAGAGGATTTTTTAAAACACACATTTTTAGGCTAACCTCCAAAAAATGGCCACATATTATGGCGGCGAAAAACACACACTGACAGGGCCTCAGTCAAATGTAAAATGCGGACTTCCGGCGACTTAAATTGCGCGACTATACCGCCACCGCCGAGAGTATCTCCCGCGCCATGGGGGCTAAACTAGATGACTGGGACTCACGAGCAGCAGCCTCCGCATCTTCTGCAGCTTTGCTCGTGAGTCCCAGCAATCTAGTTCAGCCCCGAGATACTCTCGGCAGTGTAGTCACCGGAAGTCCGCACTTTACATATGACTGAGGCCCTGTTTTTGGCAGCCATAATATGTGGCTGTTATTTAGAGGATAGCCCATATTTATATATAATCTCTTACATACATTTTCTAGATCATTAACATAATGCCTTTTTTCAGAAGGCAAACATCTACTACTGCATAATTGTAATTTGTGTATCAGTTTGAAAAACAGCACAACACTAATCATATTGAATGCATTGTTTTTTTCTATGTTAAAGAAGGCACAAGAGTTTTTTGGTCCTTTGATTATTTGCTTTATATTGCAGTGGGAACAACAAATTATCAACATAAATCCTTGTGCAGACACTGCTGATATCATTATGAAACAGTAATGAGGCTATCCTCCGAATAACTGTCCTAAACTATTGAGGCCGAAAATATACCCTAACAGGGCCTTAGTCACATGTAAATTACGGACCTCTTCCGGCGACTACACAGCATAATGCTGAAAGTATCTCCGAGCGGCGCAGAATGGGGGCGAAACTGGATGGCTGGGACTCAACGAGCAAATAAAATGAAGCTGCAGGAGATGCAATAGCTGCTGCTCATGAGTCCCAGCCATCTAGTTAAGCTCCATGTCACGCGTAGCGGCGCAGGAGATACTCTCGGCGGTAACTTTAACATGGCGGAAGCTTTTCCGTGGTATGCTGTGTGGTCGCCGGAAGAGGTCCGCAATTTACATGTGACTGAGGCCTTGTTAGGGTATATTTTCGACCTTGATAATTTGGGACCGTTTTTCATAGGATAGCCCAGTAATGACCTTTTGCCTAAATTCTGTATATTTTCAAACAAATAAGAAAACAACCACAGTTGTCTCTTACCGGTGCTAACTGTACTAAGGAAGAAAACCTTTATTCTTAATTTCTGGAATTTGCTTTTATTATTTAATTAATGAGACATTTTTTGGAATCAGCAGCGGTCTGGTTTAAATTAATTTTTTTATTTATATATATATATATATTTAATAAATAAGAGATTGGTGAGAATGCCATGAATTAAAAAAAAAAAATTAAATGAAAGTAATTAACTCACACAAAAGATTTGATTATCCACAAAAGACAATCCAGTTTTTTTAGGTATATAATGAGAAAGAAAAAACTTAAGTACATTATGACAACAGGATAGATAAGGGGGAGATAAGAAAAACCAGGAGAGAAAATGATAGATTTGCATCAAATCATTGAAGAAAATGTATATAACAGTGCTGTGTACAGTTTTGATGATTAACATAGCACTGCATTGACTGCAAGAATGCTGTGATATAGTGAACATCATTGCACATTGTTTTATAATAATGTTGATAACAGACAATATCAGGAATATAAATCAGTGCAGGTAACTATAAAATGAAAGATGTAAATAAAAAGAAATATATGGAAGCAATCAAAACAAGTGACATCCTCAGCTTTTTTTTTTTACAAGTACAGTGAAGTTTATACTAGAGACAACATTGCAGATATAAATAATCAATTTCAAGCGAATGAAAGAAGAAGAAGAAGAAATTACAAGTACTGTTGAACAGAGTGATAATACCTACCTATTTACAGAGTCAAATAAAAATATGAGTAACTTTGGACTGACTGAATCTCAATTATAACAGAAATTGTCACTTTAGTTTTATTTTATTAGTGAAACTGTACTTAAAATTTGCACTGACTGAATCACATAACTCTCCCTCAGAAGTTTGTTTGCATGTTGGTATTACCCATTTTCTATTTCATCAGTGCTTTTTTAGATTGGAGAGATATCTACAGACCAAATCCTAATGAGATTTTTAATGGAACCCTATTCTTGTTATTTAGGTGGAGCCGGTGGTAAAGGTGTTTGGGGTAGACCTGGAGTTGAGGTCAATGAAGACGGACATTGTAAAGATGCACACGACCCCAATTATGACTCTGCCAGTGAGGTTAGCTTGTTGAAAATGTTTGTTCTTATCTTGGGAAGTCCAGTGGTATTGGGGTTTATGAAAAGAACAATCAAGGACTGGCAGTGAAAGAGGTGTGACGTTTTAAAATGGGATTGAAGTGTGAAGAATGTTTTCTTGGAGCAGAGTGGATGAATGGTATGATCATGAATGGGTACAAAATTAGGAACTTGACAGTATCAACTTTTCACTGGTATTGGGGGAGAGGGACCTGGTTTTCTTAAATAAGAGCAACAAGAAATTATGCTAGGAGGACCTTTAACCTGGTTGCCTCAAAAAGCCAAAAATGAAAGAGGTGTGATGTTTTAAAGTGGGATTGAAGTGTGAAGGATGTTTTCTTGGAGCAGAGTGGATAAATGGTATGATCATGAATTTGTGCAAAATTAGGAACTTGACAGTATCAACTTTTCCCTGGTATTGGGGGAGAGGGACCTGGTTTTCTTAAATAAGAGCAACAAGAAATTATGTTAGGAGGACCTTTAACCTGGTTGCCTCAAAAAGCCAAAAACAAACCATCACTTCCAGTTGGGTTCTTTTCCCAGAGAAAGCCACTTAACTGAATTTTCTGCAGTGGCATCCTTACTAGATGCATAGTAAATGCTATTGGTTGTGATCACGCCTGCGTAGTGTTTAGGCCAAGATATGAATATATTAAAAATAACACAACAGTGCTTCACTTGTGAACCAAAAGACTTTTTTTAAAAGCCGTATTTACATCAAATAATCTCTGTAGCCTCAGTGATAGAGATCACAGGGTCTCAGCATAAGTCATCCTATATATTGTTTTTTTAGGCCCCAGGGAATATATTCTTTTTTATTCCTCACGCTGTTATGTTTTTTGATTACCAAGTTTATATATCTTTAGATGTTTCAAAAAAAGAAATTAAAAAGTCAAGTCGATAAATAAATGTTTGAATATTAGGACCAGTATTTCCGAGAAGATAATTTTATTACATCGGCTGCTGTACTAGTTGGGAGAAACTCATTTTTTCTTATTTAGTGTTGATTACCTGACAGTTGTTTTGGTAAGCAAGTTTGTTATCCACATGTATTTTTTTTTTTTAACTTGCAAAATAATTATGTACAATAATTATCCTTTAGTTAGTTCATGAATATGGTGTCAACACTAGTAGAAAATAAACTCGCTCAGATCAGTACAAGTATAAATTAATTACTGACGTTTATACTGCGTTAGAGAAGGAGAAAGTAGCTGGTCTCTTTACCTCATAGAGTGGTAATCATATATTACTCACATGTGAACAGGGTCTTCTGTGTATAATTTTGAGGATACTTTAAGTATATCTTTTAAAATGCTGTATGTTGTTCATCATGATTTAACACACAAAACAAGTTTCTTCTTTTAGTTGTCTTTATCACCATCCTTGTCTGGAACAGTCTTTCATGACATTTCAATCTTCTCAGTCATCCAATTTTAATGATCCAATTTTAATGACCAATTGATCAGTTTGTCCCCTCCAGGTTGATACCTAAAGGTTTACCTTACCATCCTGAGATTAAAGAATGTCAGTCTAGAAGGACTAACAAGCCAGATCAAATATACCCCATTTAACCTCTAAATAAGTTATAATTAGGGTGCTCATAATGGTTAAAGTAGCCAGGTGTAACCTGCAGTACTTTGTGGGATAAGGGCAGATATTTGTTTATCAAGTTGGTGTTGCTTATATTGTCTGTCTGCCCTTTTTCTTTGTCTTCCTGTGCTTCTCTTTGCATAACATTTTTCTCTACAAGATTGATTTTTTTTCCTACTTACGGCTTTGTGATTAGGATGTTGTTTTGGGCTGGAAACAGATGAAAGGCATTCCACATGAAAAACACAAACATTGCTACAGTAAGCACTAAACTCAGTAGACTTCTGTCCATATGTTCAAACTGCATTAGCAATGCTGATGGAAGTAAAACTGAACTAGGGCTAACATTTTGGGGTAGGGCTTGTATTAAAATCATCCAGAAAAATATTGCTAGGGCTTATTTTTGGGATAGATTTTTTAATTTCTGTGAAACACTGCGTTATTCTTAAGATGATGATCTTGAAAACCATTTGCCTCATCCTTAAGATAATGATCTTGAAAATGAAACCAGTAGAGAAGTTTACCAAAGACTCAAGAGTCAGTGCTCCATTTAGAGATCAGAGGCAGAAGAAGAAAGTTTCAGTATTTAATGCAATATTTCCTTATCTGCATTTGCTTCCAAGTATAATAACTGCAGTAGTCATGTGTAAATGTTGACATTTATAAAGTCAGGGGTGTCATGAGAAGGACATAATTGCAGACTCATTACTTTAAAAATATATTCCTGAGTTTATTTAAGCTCCTACCTCGAAATGTCTTGTTTCATAAAAAGATTACGAATTGCTTTACTTTAGCTCAGTTTTAAGCTGCATGAATCTTTACAAGGCCATTTGCTTCATTTACTGCCCATGATGTCTTTCTTTGGCTTTGTTTTGCTTTGAAGTTTGACCCTATTTCAACACATTTATGTATGGACTTTTCCTGATCAATCTTGTCAGCCTCCAAAGTTTACACTGACATTGTTTATTCTTTACATTTTATGCCGAAACTGAAGTAGAAATTTAGTTTTAAATTTAAAAAGAAAAACGCTAACGACTGTTTCTGTGCCTTAAGGAAAATTAGGCATATTGGTGATAACCGCCTATATTTATAGATAAAATAGCACCCAGTTGGTGATTTGATAATAATACAAGTGCCTTTATTTCCCAATATGTTTTTTGGGTTAATACCCCATAAGCAGATGGAGAAAAAATTTAATATTCTGGAGGTTTCATAATATTAGGTTAAAGTTAACATTACATGAATACAAATTTTAACAGATTGAAAATTACGTTCTTCATCTTCCAATTTCTTTTAGCTGCCCCCAAAAGCATTTGCTATCATCAAAACATTTGATGTCACTGTCACCTTCACTCACCTCATACTTTGCTTATTCTTGTTGTTTACTCAGTGCCTCTCCCATCTTGCTAAACTCCTCATCTGGTATTTGCCATGCACATCTTTAAATTATGATTGTCTGTAATTATAAATATATTTCAGGAAGAATTTGTCTGTTATATTTCAGGATGAATTTGTGTTATATTTCAGGATGAGTACTTAATAGAGGAGATTGACCCAGAGGTGTCCCTGGAGGAGCTGGAGAAGGTCTTGGAGCCTGCAGTTCTAGAATATTATGAAAATAATAACCCGGATGAATTTTTGGTATGTTGGCTTCTCTCTCTCTCTCTCTCTCTCTCTGACTTTGTGTTTTCAGGTTGACCCAGCCTAAAATTGGTACTTCTTAGTTCGAAGAAGCTCAGCCCAGTGCTCAGTCTCTGTAGATGTGGCGAGGATCCTGAAATACTTTAGGTAGATTTTTAACTCCAAACTTTGCTCGGGCACCGCCGTTAGGCTACTCTTTTCGATTTCCAGTTGCCAAGGTATTTTTTTTACGTACGCAGCAATGCACTTGGGCGTTCAATCTCACTACCCAGAGACCAAGGAGAATTACTAGAAGCCCAAGTCCACGTGAAAAAATCCCAGCCCTTACCGGGGATTGAACCCGGAACCTCTAGGACTCGAGGCGAACATCATACCCCAAGACCACAAAGCCTCCTAGGGAAGTAAAGGTGGTCATGTGATGTTTCCACCTCACCCATTGAATGTCTGTAGGCATATCAAAATAGGGATCAAGTGTGATAGCCTGATGCGTCCCTAGCATAAAAAGTGTCCTTTTTTTTTTTTTAGTGTGTTCGCATAAGACATGCTTTGTCTCAGTTATTTGTGAGTAAACTCTAGCTCAATGGTTGGACCCTTGCTTGCTAGCCCAGTAGGCATGGTTTTGAATCTGCATAGAGCTGAATATTTTAAAATTGATTCGGGCTACCCGGTTGATTCAGTTTAAAATGCATACCCGGAACTTTCATGGTAAGTACAGAGAGTTGGTATAATGTTGACCGTATCACTCATCAATAGCTGATTGGTCTCTGAAAATCTGCATCTAACATCATTTGCTGAATGCACCTTTAGGCAGGCAAAGGATCCTTCACTGTCCATCCTCCTTTTTCTTTTTTGGTAAAAGAGAGGAAGTAGATTTTTTACATGTCTCTCTGTGATGAATATTATGGGTGCTTTAAACAGCTAGTGTAACTGATTGCCTTGAAGACAGTAGGACATATCATGTAACTGTTACAAAGAGGCAGACAGAGCACTGCTCTGTTGATCCGCATACTACTGCAGCATGCCTCGTTCTTGTCGGACCCACACTGAATTTTCTTACTCGCATAGCCTTACCGATTTTTTTCCACATTAACAGTCATCTGCCATCAGCATTCATTCATAAATGGTTTTCAGAACGTCTGCCTTATCTATTATGAGAGTTTCTTTAGCATCCCTTTTGTAGCCAGAAAATTAGCTTATTCATTCCCTTGCGGTCTTGCATTTCTCTGACAGTATTTCCACATGACTCCCTGGAATTAAGCTGTGGGGATGTTTGAGACTCATGACACAGTTGTCCAATTTGTTCTATATCCTTTTTATGTATCACATTTCAGAACTCAGTAGCAGATCTCAACTTAGGAGGGAAAAAGCCAAAGCTTGTGGAATTTTTGATAAGCAAAGCCATTGATCACAGGGCAGCACAATGTGAGATGACCTCCATTCTGCTTTCTGAGCTCTACAGCCGAGTGCTCACTCATGAAGATATCATTGAAGGTTTTAATGAAATTCTGAACAAACTTTCTGATCTGGTCTTGGATGCACCACATGCACCAGAGGTAAACATTAATTTATAGCAGTTTAATTCTTTTAAATCTTTTTTTTTGGGGGGGGGGGGGGGGGGGGGGGGGGGGGGGGGGTTTAATTATTTAACCCTCTTGACCCAGTGACCTAGAAAACAAAAACAATGCCAAAAACCCATCCATATCTTGGGAATTTTAGGTTTCCCCAAAAATATTCCTTAAAAAAATGTAGTCACCAAAATCTACATATGTGGACCAAAACAATATTTAATTGCATATAATAATCAGTAATCTCAGTATTGGCAGAGAATTGAAGGGGCTACATAAATCTAAGCTTTAAAAAAATTTTTAGCGTACAAGTTCTAGACCCCTGACCTAGCTGCCAGTTGCCACCGTAACTAATGAGAAATTCTGATGTCATAATGTCGATTAATAAAGCCATTTCTGTGGAGCAGTGGCTAGACGCTTGCTTGTTGGACTGAAGTCTTGGGTGTAAATCTGCATGGAGCTAAATTATTTTATTAATGTTCCATGCTGCCAGGCCAACAACCAGGTCAAAATGAGTAGAAAAAAATATCCTGGGAGGTAAAGTGTGATGTTGACCACATCTCCCATTGATTCTATGGATGTATACAAATCTTTATCTAGAGCTATATTCCTGACACATTTATGTCACATGAAAATCCATTACTCTTTGTGTGCATGATATCATTAAAGCCTCCATGATTAAAATCAGCATCCAGATGTTAGCAGTGGCCATTACATGTTTTTGTATCAGCCTATCTTTACTGTTAGCATGCTGTTGCATATTGTCAGCTAGGAACTGACGTTTCCTCAGGAAAGTGCATGCTAACATTTAGAGCCACAAATCAGAATGAGAATGGATCAAAATCATGGTAAAAGAGTAGTAACCCATAGACTCTCCGTTCTGCTTCTAACTCAAGTCTGAGTCTGAAGAATCTCAGCGCAGTGCATGAACTCCGTAGCACCGGCAGAAATGTTTTGTATTCTTTACCACATGGTGCAGAAATCTGGATAATTTAAAAAAGAAAAGCTTTTAGAAAGTTGAGGTGATACATTAGAAGTGGGGAAATATAGTGATTTCAAGGGGGGGAGGGGGGATATCAAATGAACAATTTTTAGAAAAATCTAACCAATCATGAACATAGCCCTTTGTATGAGGGTCTATGTTTTATTGGGAGATGAAAGGCAGAAGACATTTGTCATAGCTCTAACAAAGGAGTCGCCACATAGTTGCTTCGTTTCTTTGTGAATAAAAACCACTGCAGTCCTGGCAAAACAAAGAGCATACATGCATTAATTGCAGACGGAAGTCGCTAGAAGTGGCAACACAAAATGTAGGCAGTAGAATTGCAATTTGTTTTATGAAGGAAGCAGCAGTTACAGCTAATCATTAGTTCTGCTTGCAAAATATTCGTTAAGTTACCACCAGTTCTGCGGTAACAGGCCACCCGCCATTGACTGAATCTGCAGTTCTCAACACAAAACACCTTGGGCATGGTCTAAAAACATTTTGTGTGAAATCCAGTGCCGCATCTGACACTCAGCTCAGTAGCTGGATGCCAGAGCTGTGAAAGGCAGAAAGAAAAGACTAGTGGACACTGTCTGAGGCAAAATAATTGTAACAGCAGTGATAATCACACATGGAGATGATGTTTGATTGTTTATGCGACATTCCTTCTCTGTAGACAATCTATAAAATACAGTTTGATGTTAATGTAGTAGAGTCTGAAAACAGTTGTTTCATACTGCCTGCACAATTTCATACTGTCTGCACAATTTTATTCTGTCTGCACAGTTTCATATCTGTCTGCAATTTCATACTGTCTGCATAATTTCATACAGTCAGCACAATTTCATTCTATTAGCACAGTTTCATTCTATCAGCACAATTTCATACTGTCTGCATAATTTCATACAGTCAGCACAGTTTCATTCTATCAGCACAATTTCATTCTATCAGCACAATTTCATACTGTCTGCACAATTTCTTATTGTTTGAACAGGTAGTTGGCAAATTTTTGGCCAGAGCTGTGGCTGATGATTGCTTGCCACCCAAATTCATCCAGTCACACAAGGGAAACGTGGATGATGAAATTGCACAGTAAGTCATACACCTTGTCAGAGGCTAGTTTAATTCCTTTTTGATACCAGTCTTTGGTGTGTCTAAAGATAAATTAGTTGTTGGTAGCAAAATATGCTATTTGTCTAGAACATTGCATTCTGCTGTTGTATGTAAACATTGTACACATTCTATAGTTTATTAATAGTCAGGTTTATTTTCTTTTTTGCTTCAGTATTGTGAGGCTAACAGTTTTATTCTTTCAATATATTTCACTTATATTTTTCTCATCACTAATGTTTGCATTCATTCTTAACTAGACCATATATTTTTGCCCCCTCTCTTTCTGTCTCTCTTTACCTGCCTGTCATTCTTTTTCCCTCCATCATTCTTTACTTGCTGCTCCCTCTTATCTGTTCCTCTCCCCTCTGTCGCTCCCTCCATCTGTCTCCCTGCCACTCACTTTCTTTGTCTCACCCTCTCCCTCCCTGTTTCTGTGCTGCTTCCTGTTTTCCTTCCATCTGTCACTCTCGATGAGTTTAATCCTCATTTCGAGATGGATATGACTCGTTCTTCTGCTTTTCACAACCAGTGGGGCATAATAACTTAACCAATGCCAAACCATTTGTGGATTTTATCATGATTGGTTAAATTTCACAGATAAAAGTAGTTTTTTTTTTTAAATGATGCCCATACGTCTCTGTTTTCATATTCAGTCACACGCCAGAGCTGCTTTGTTGTCTCTTACAGTGTGCCTTGATGTCCTAGTTACACACAGGTAATATGACATTGAATAAACAGAATCTGTGTCAGGGCACTTGTGACATGGGTGCTCTCTCAGATTTAATGTGACTCTGGTCCAGACTTTAGAAAAAAATGTATTACCCCTTTTCCTCAGTATGATGGTCTAGCATATGGAAGACTTGTAATTCTACACTACTAGAACTCGAGAGCGTATTTTCCCCCCATGCTCATGTCATCATCATCATCCTGTTTTGCTGATTCTTCTTCTGTTCTATTGTGTCCTGTGCAATTGTTTCATTAGCATGGTTGAAATCCAGTCCAGCTCTTTTGACCTCTCTCATCATTAATTTTAGGATTTCCTTTGGACATCTTTGTTTCCTCAATCAGTTTGTTTCCTATTTATGTTCATGGGGTGGTTCTGTCATCCTTGTTTCCTCAATCACTTTGTTTCCTATTTATGTGCCTGGGGTGGTTCTCTCATCCTCGTTTCCTCAATCACTTTGTTTCCTATTTATGTGCACGTGGTGATTCTGTTTGTACATAAAATAGAGCAAAGGACACTTTTCCACGCCTTTAGACGTATGGGCATACAGTGCTGGACCTGTATTTTATAGACAAATCAGCACTCACTAGGTGTTGTGGTAAACCTGGTACCCACTTAAAACTTAGTCATCCTGGGAGCCAAAGTCATTTGTGAAAAAAGTTAAGATTCTGTTCAGACTCAAACTCTGTTTTCATATCTGGGCAGACATCTAGTTGCTACACCATGGCTGCTTCCATCATATACATGATTAAAAACTATTTAATTGCCCTTCATCTCATACTTTTATTGCAGATGTTATTGATTTTGTTTGTTTACTGTAAAGTTCCTAGTATACAAGTGACTATGTTTCCTTTTTTTTCTTTAGGGAAGCATTGTTGAAAGCAGATACTTTGCTTACACAAAAGCATGGCATCGTGCGCTTGGATAACATCTGGGGCACAGGTGGAGGAATTAGACCTGTGAAATATCTTGTGAAACAAGTATGTTTTATATTGTTGTGTGTGAAACATTATTTTTTATTATATTTTTTGGGGGTAAATTGTGGACAAGATTGGGTCCTTTACATGTATTGTTCCCAAAGACAGCAATGGTACAATGTAACCAACTGGGGAAGGCACAGTTTTTGACGTCTGAAGATTGAACAAAAATCTTAACTTTTTCATTCTTCATTATTTGATTAAAAGACTCCCCATGGTGTTTCTGAGGCCCCATTATGGGGAGAACAAGAATAGACTCGCTGTCTTCCCAACAAGTATGTCATAGAAGTCAACTAATTTGGGGCTTCCTTTGAAGTGGAAGTGCATCTGCCTGAGAACCAGGAAACCAACAGACTGCGTAAAAAAGTAAGCCAGATCTATAGAACGGAGGTGCATGCTACACACGTTCTGAAACAAGACTAAAGTCCACAAGTGGATGAACAACCTGAACCTTCCGTCGTAGTTTGCAGCCGGTGAACACAAAGAATAATAGTTTAAAAACATTAATTCTTTGACAGTAGTTCTTGAGGTAGTTCTTCAGTGTCTGAAGGCTGAAAATAATCTTAACTTATTTTTAAAAAGTTTAATTTTCATTATTTAGTTAAGGGAGTGGCTGTGATTGGTGTTCTGGCTAGGTGCTCACTTGAAGATGCAAAGGCCATGGTTTAAATCGGAACAGAGTTGGACTTTTTTCCAAACTGACGTTCGTTCCCAGGTCCACCCAGCCCTCCTTGGTTAATATGTATAGTCCTGGGATATAAAGGCTTTCGGCATAATGCTGACCATATCACTTACTGAGTGCAGTTTGGTATATCAATATAGGTCTAGCACTATTTGCCTAATATGCCTGAAGGTGTGAAAAAGGGCCCTTATTATAATTTCCTTTAACCTTCAATTTGTTCATTGCACGTTTATCTTTTAACAAGTTTCTCACATAAAGTAAATCTAAATCTTGAATTAAATATTGTTATTGGGGAAAGTAGTGAAAGGTTGACTTTTCATGTGACACTGCCGGTTGTGAGATCCATTCTATCATTATTTATTGCTTTCTCATTCTGAAAATAGAGCATATGAGTATTTGTTTGTTTAAATGTTCTTATCAGGGTTAGTGGTATGTATCTATCTGTTTAATATTTAGTGACTAAGAGTTTTAAGAGATTATGGTTATTTCTAGCAGTCATGATGAAGAATATTTATGTAAGCGCATCTTTGTAAGTTGAGGTGAAGTCTTCAAGCATGTGGTAAAAATTAACGAATTAGGGGCTTTCCTTCGAAGTAGGAGTGCATCTGCCTGAGACGTGAGGAACCAACAATCTGCTTACAAATAAGCCAGATCAGTAAAATGGATGTGCATGCAGAATTTAAGTTGTGGAACGAGACTAAAGTCCAGAAGTGGACGAACAACCAGAGTTTTCTGCTGGAGTTTTACAGTTTTTGAACATGAAGAAGACATTTATTTTGAGTGTCCAGCTTGTAAATCCTACATAAAACATCTGGTATAGAAATCTAGGCATTTTCTTACTATTTTTGTGCATTAAGTCCATGTTTTATGCACTGATTATGTCTTCTTAACTTTTCTCTTGAGCTGGTTGTAAATTCTGGCAGAAAATTCTCATTGTTCATCTGTTTCTGGACTTTGGTCCATTGTGATGTTGCTTAGTTTTAGGAACCTGTTTCTTCTGAAGTTCTTGAGTTTTTTAATGATGTAAATTCAGTCACTTACAACAAAAATATTTCATTGTGATTGAATAAGCACATATGGCTTATTTTTTTTCTCTATCTTGCTATTGTATAATTCATAGGTGGATAGACAACCCAGTGTAATAACTCTTCCTAAGTTAAAGCTATTTTGCTTATGCCCTTATTTCGTGCAGATGGTGATGCTGCTGAAGGAATACTTGTCGTCTGGTGATATTGTTGAGGCAACTAGATGTTTGATTGAATTAGATGTTCCACACTTTCACCATGAGCTTGTGTATGAGGTAATACAATGGTTTTCATGTTACTTGTTTACTATGTTTTAGTGTTACTTGTTTATTGTTTTACTGTTACTTGTTTGCTGTGTTTTCATGTTGCTTGTCTGCTGAGTTTTCATATTACTTGTCCCCTGAGTTTTCCTGTTGCTTGTTTGCTCAGTTTTCATATTACTTGTCTGCTATGTTTTTATTTTGCTGGTCTGTTGAGCTCTCATATTACTTGTCTGCTGAGTTTTCTTGTTACTTTGTTAGCTTTTTGTGTTGCTTGTCTGCTGAGTTTTCTTGTTACTTGTCTGTGAGTTTTCTTGTTACTTTCTTTGCTATGTTTTCCTGTTACTTGTTTGCTGAGTTTTTATATTACTTGTTTACTGAGTTTTCCTGTTACTTGTTTGCTGAGTTTTTATGTTACTTGTTTACTAAGTTTTCATGTTACTTGTTTGCTACGTTTTCATGTCGCTTGTTTGCTGAGTTTTCATATATTATTTGTCTGCTGTTTTCATGTTGCTTGTCAAGTGTTGATTACCTCATTAAATGTTACATTGTTTACTGCTCAGAAGTTAGTACATAGGAATCTCTTCTTCTTCATGCTCTCTGGAAGAAAGTTCTGGTTGTTCGTCCACTTCTAGGCGTTAGTATATCCAGAACTTGAGTTTTGCGTGCACATCTGGTCAACAGATCTGGCTAATTTGTATGCAACTATTGGTTCCTTGCCTGTCAAGCAGATGTACTCCCACTTGAAGGAAACACCCCTGGTAGTCTACTTTTGACATGCTAGTTAGGGGATCATGGGTCTGTTCTTTTGTTCACCTCACAATAGGGCCCCAGAACCCATACAGTGAGCACATGAAAAATAATATAAGTTACTTGGTTTACAGGCCATTCATTCATACTAGTGCTTTGGTGTTTGACATCTGTGCTTGATGGTTGAGTGAACTTTATTGCCCTGCGAAAACTGGTTTTCCTATTATTGTTTTCTGGATTTTGATGACATGACATCTTTGGGCGATAACCACTGTGACAGCTTTAGTACTGGTGGCAGTTGCACAGTGTTTAGACAAGATGGATTTGATCATAGCAAAGAATTTTTTTTTTGGAGAGGGAATTGGGGGGGGGGGGGGGGGGGGTGGAGGGCGGCAAATTATTTGAAGTGAACAAATGTGATTATTTTGGTAATGATGACATCATATATAGACATGAGGTCACTGTGCTTTCTGTGGCTGTGTGGACACATCCCACATTTTCTTGTCACTGGGAACAAAAGAAATTACTTATTTACTCCATTTGTATAGTTAAGTTTCTTCTTTTTTTGTTTCTTTCTCTGGTTTCTTGTGTCAAAGTTTAGAAGAATTATAACTTTTCTTCTTAATAAAATTTTGATAAAATAAATTATTTGTCAAAGATTTATTTTTACGGAATGAAAGGGTTAATCTATGTTATCCAGGTGTGTTTAATTTCCTTTGTTATTGATGTCAAGAGTTGGTAGCATAGCATGGGAGAAAACTTGTGTTGCACACTATTTTGTTTCTACTGTTGTATTTTGTGTAATGTTGATGATATTTACTTAGTGATCTTGCTTACTTTGTTGAATCTGTCTGTGCTCATTCAGCAAACAAGTGTCAGTACAACTGTTCAGATGCTACAAGAATGTTCATTTGTAAAAATCAACTGTCCACCATTGAAATTCAGCCCTTGTAATCAAAGATTGTGAAACGCATTAACTAACTTCCCAATGTGAGTTCCGGGGCCCCATTAGGTGGAAAATGGGTGATAGGCACTTACACATACCCTCCCCCCCCCAACCCCCTCCCCCCCCCCCCCCCCCAAAAAAAAAAAAGCAAGACGTAAAAGTTAAATAATTAGGGGAGTTGACTTCAAAGTCAGAATTCATGTCTGAGAGGCAAGGAACCAACAGTCTTGAAACAAATAAGCCAGATCTGTAAAACCAATATGCACTCAAATTCTGCAATGAGACCAAAGTCCACAGATGGATGAACAACCAGAACTTTCCACCAGAGTTTAAACCTGGTGAATACGAAGAAGAAAAAGGTTAACTTCTAATCCATAGAGCTGGACTCTCTTTAGAAAAAGCTAGCTACGTGTAAAACCTTAAGGATTGTGATTTATTTAAGATGAAACTGTTACATATACTGTTTACAGGCTGTTAACATGGTGCTTGAAAAATCAACGGATAGAGCAGCAGATATGATGGTCAAACTTCTGAAGTCACTGGCCTCAAGTGTTATCATTACACCTGATCAGTTTACACAGGTATTGTTTCGTTACCGTTGGTATTAGTAGTTTTGTTACGTTTCAGGGGAACTTTGAGGCAGCAAATAAAATGGTTTTCTTCTTTTAGGCAAAGGGGGTATCTATGGCGAGTGGTCAAGCCATTTGCCTCGCACTCTGAAGATCGTTGGTTTGTTGAACAGCGGCGCCATTCAGTTCACGAGTGCAATTTTGTGGTATTCTCTGCGGATTGCTAGCCGTTGTGCGGGGAGAGACTGAGCCATATGGGATAAAACCTGGTGCTATGCAGTCGATCCTCTTGACTGTAACCTTTATCTTTTTAGGCAGAGTGGTTAAGCTGTTTGTCTTTAATTAGTTACTTAGATGTTTACATATTTGGTTGTTGTTGTTATCGATCCAGCGGCGCATGAGCTTTCGCTCTTTGGCCCAATGCCATGTAGTGGAATTTGCATGTTTTCACAAGCTGTTCTTTTCCTCCGTACAAGGTGTTCCACTTGTCTGGTCTCGGAGGGAGTAGCGTTCTTCTTGTCTCACTGAGTTTTGGGCACTCAAAGAGATGGTGTTCAACAGTTTCGTAGGGGTAGTTACATAGCTGGCACTCTGGGGAGTGTTGTGGCTGTATTCTGTTTAGATGTCCATTGAGTGGAGTATGTTGCGTTCTAAGTCTGAAGATGGTGGCCTGGTCCCTTCTTGTTAGATAGTTAATGCTGTCATTAGGATCAGGGCCAGCCATATGTCTGTAAACCTCTCTTCCAGTGTCTCCCATGGCCCATCTGTTCAACCAAGTCTCTTTGTTTATAGCTCTTATATTTATTTTTGCTGTCTGGAGGGTTGTCGCTGTAGGTGGTTGTTCTTGTGTTGCTCCTTTCTTTGCCAATCTGTCAGCTCTTTCATTACCTGGTGTGCCGGAGTGACCTGGAATCCACTGCATCACTTTTCTGATGTTGTATGAGGTAATAAGCTGATCAGCATCCAGGATTATCTTGGCTATGTCAGTTCTGCAGCGTTCACTGCCCTCCAGAGCTTGAAGGGCAGACATTGAATCTGTGAAGATGACAGTATTTTGGACCTTTAAAGGGTAAACATCCATTACAGTCTCTAGGTGGTATACTGCTGTTTCCAGTGCAATTATTTCAGCTTCATAATTTGAACAGAATTACCCGCATGCATCAAAAATCTCTTCAACAGATCCATCGGGATAACCTATGTAGATTCCGTAACCTGCTTTAATGGTAGCTTTAAATGCTGATCCATCAGTATAGACATGTATCCATTCTTCGGGGTAAGAATCAACGGTCTTTAGTGATGAGTTCGTAAGAGCGATTGGGTCGGCCTACCAATTTAATTAAAACTTCTGGAGCTTTAAAGCGAGCATGTGGTGGTAGGTTTCTTGCAATATTCTGAATTCCTTGCCGTCTTTCTGGGAGGTGGTATCTGTCCTTACATTAACACAGCGTAAAACTGATTTGTGCTTTAATCTTTGTTTGTATTCCCAGTTTTCTACAAGATGTCTATTAGGATGGTTACAATTTTTTCTAACGCATCTTTCATAAATTTCTAAAGTGGCTTTTTCTCTCCGCAACCCGAGGGGTTCCACATTTGTATGGATTTCACATGCAGCAGTTGGTGTAGACTGCATAGCTCCGCAGATTAGTCGGAGGGCATTATTTTGTACTCTGTCAAAAGTCTCTAGGTTAGTTTTGGAGCAAGTTGTAAGCAGTGAGTTGTTGTACTCTATCACAGAGCGAACATATCCTAGATATAAGCCCCTCAGAGTTTCCTTGTCTGATCCCCATGATGTACCTGCAAGTCTCTTTAATAACTGTAACCGCCTCAATGCCTTATTCCTGACGTTTTCAATATGGTTCTTGAGGCTGAGCTGCCGGTCAAGTGTGACTCCAAGGTATGTGGGATGCTCTTCTTTCATCACTTGGTGTTTGTCTAACCTCAGGTTAATATTCTTCCTTGCTTCTTGGTGGCTTTTGGTAAAGATTGTGTAGACCGTCTTTGCACAGTTAACCTTGAGTTTCCATCTTTGGCAGTACTCATTGCAGTCTTCTTAGGTCTCCATTCAGTCTTTGGGCTCCACTTTCCACATTTTCATGACTCTGCCATATTGCTAGGTCATCAGCGTACAAGGCTTTTTCGGCCTTGATTTGTTCTGGCAGGTCATTGATAAAGATTAGGAACAGTGTACAGCTCAATGATGAGCCTTGTGGCAAGCCCTCCTCCAAGACTTCTTTAGAAGAGATTGCGTTGTGCATCTTAGTCTGGATTGTTCTATCTATCAGAAAGTATTTCACCCAGTTATACAATCTGCCATGTATTCCTATGCTCATCATCTTCATCAGGAGACCTTTTCTCCATACTCTATCATAGGCCTGCTGGAGGTCGACAAAGACGGCCACTGTGTGTTTCTTATTCTGGAAGCCATCATGTATTCTTTGTGTCAGTCTGAACAGCTGGTCTTCTGTACAGTTGTTGGTTCTGAAGCCTGCCTGTTCATGGCATAGAACACCAGAACTCTCTAGGAACCAATATAAGCGCCTGTTTATCCTTCTTTCTGCTACTTTGCCCAAGCATGATGTTAAGGATATCGGATATCCATGCCTTTGGAAGTTTGCTTGACCTCCAAGTTTTATTAATAAGCCTGAGAACTACTTCTCTCCCAGACCGGCCAAGATGTAGCAGCATTTCATTGTGGATCTTATCTGGGCCTGGGGATTTTCTAGGTTTTAACTTCTTCAGGGCTTGCTCTAATTCATCCATGCTAAATTCATTTTCAGAAAGAGAGTCGCTGGCTGTTTGAGCTCTCTCTTGTTTCTTCAACTGAGAGAGCTGTGTTCTATTGAGTTCTGACAGCTTACCTGCTCTGTTAACTGAGGCAAAATAATGATTGAAATGTTCTGCTTTCTTCTTCTGTCTTCAGTGATTGTCTTACTCCCATCTGTCACTGGTTTTGGGTTCACACTTCTACTTTCTCCGGAGAGGTTTTTAACTAAAGTCCATGCTTTATTTCCATTCTGTCTAAGGTCTAAGTTGGAGCAAGTTTCTGTCCATTTATCTCTTTTAGCCTTATTAACTACAAGCTTTACTCTGGCACATGCTTTATTGTATTGGATCTTTGCTTCTGTTGAACGTGCAGTTTCGAGCAATATTCTTGCTTTATTCCTTTCAGATATAGTATTTTGAATTTCTTTATTCGAAAAAGGTTTATATGCCTTCCGGCTGCCCCTTGGGATGGCTTTCGACGCTGCATTCAGGATTGCTTATGTTATATCTTCACAAAAAGTTTCCACACAGCTGTTGTCAATTCTTCCCAGGAGGCAGTCAGATGTTTCCTGAAAGAGTTTCCAGTTTGCTTTTCGGAAATTCCAACGGGTTCTCTGCTTGAAGCGTAATTTAGCGGTGGTGCTTACAGTTGTGAGTATAGGTTTGTGGTCACTTCCTATGTCATCCAGGACTTGGGGATAGCTTGCGTCTGCTAAGTCGGATGAGCAGATGGTCAGGTCTGGTCGGCTGAGAGATAGGTGGGCCCTGTGTAACAGTGTAGGTGTAGACTCTGTGTCCTGCAGCACTAATAGGTTAGTTGTTTCACAAGTATCTTCGATGTATTTCCCTGTGCTATTGTAGTACATATTTGGGTACATCGTCACTTGTCGCTCAGAGGAGGCAAAGGCAAATACATGCACACATGCAGCTAAATGTTTTGACCTAAATCTGTATCAACTAATGAAACAACAATCACAAACCACACAAATAGCTAAGAGGGTCACTCAGAAGACAATTTTGTAAAAAAGTGATAGGTAAAACTCACCCACCAGATAGGCGATGCTCATTCATCTGTGATGTGATATACACATCAGTCTGACAACTAAATAATGATTTTCTAATGACCAAAATAAAAATGTCATCCATGTAGCAGAGTATGTCATGCAAACAGGCACAATTTGTCTGAGATATGACAAAATAGTAACAGAGCTTGGTTAGCAGGTGACAGAATAGCACGCCATTTTGTTGAGCTAGTGAAAATTGCATCGTTACATGTACAGCATGCAGCCAAGGGTAAACATTAAATCTGTTTCAGACTCTGAGAAATGCTCTTGAGACATTAAATTGATTAAAAAAAAGATAATAGTACCCAGCTCTTAATTTAAGCGAAATAGATATGTACCTAGGACCCCAAAAAATTGTTGAGCATATATTAAATAATCTCACAATGTGTTTGGTTTGTATGCAGGGATTCAAACGCATCTTTGATAACTTGAACGACATCTGTTTGGATGTGCCAAATGCTTATGTGCTACTGGACAAATTTGCTACAGCGTGTCACAGGGAGGGAATTATCAGCACCGAACTCCTCAATGATGTTCCTCAAAGGTACGTTTGAGATTTCCATCTTCTTTTTTTTTCTCCGTATGCCCTTGAAAGGGCAGTTGGCACGTTGTTTTGTGGTTTACAAATTATTCATCATTACCTGTGCTTATTGGCCGAACACATCCTGTGTCAGCAATTCTCTACATTTTTGCCGTTATGACTTGCTTTTTAAGAGGCAGTAAGTTTGTTCTTCCCCCCCTGCAGAGTGGGGCCCTGGAACCAACAGAGGATTAATTTCCTGTATGTGCGTTTATAATTCTGTTATTTTCCAAAATAGTTTTTTTGCCTTGTGGGATCTTTGTGGTGAAGTGGTTAAGCCATTTGCCTTACTCTTTGGAGATGATGGATTCGGTTTAAGACACTGTTATTCTGTTTATGGGTACATCAGGTACTAGAATATTGCCACGACAAATAATTTGTTTATAGATAAATATCAGGTAATAAGCAAATAACATGTTTAGAGAAGTAAGTAAAGCAAAATAGTTTTTTCACTTACTGTTATGGTGCTCAAGGGAAACTTGATAAAATAAATCCAAAAGGAGTCACAGGTGAACATGAAACACTAGAAATGAAATTGTTGGAACATCGTCACACAGCACTATTTCTTGGTTCAAAAAAGGACTTTTAAAAACAGTTAGAAACAAAAACAAGAATGAAATAGCACTCAAAAAAAATGTAAAGGGAATAACTTTATAACTGATACTGAAGAAAGTGCCCTTTCACTTGAGAAAAAAATGGCTTATTGTGCTGCAGGCTTCTGAGTCATGTTTTATTTTTGGGTTATGTTTTGTGTTCTTCTTGGGGAGAGACAGCTGGATGAGTAGTTTGAGCACTGAACTCTTTTGGATGACCTGTACTCAGCCTTTGATAAGGGTTGAAGTTTTTTTCTGTGAGGAAGAAATATAAAATTGTAACATGCACAAATTGTGGTGACTTCACTGTGCAACCTTAAATCCTCAGGTTCATTACCCTACTATTCTACACTGCTGTAAAAGTTGTAAAGTCAGATCACATAATTGCGTTGCCTGGAATTGAAGCATGGTGAAGCACGTCTTGTGTCGCCTTTGAGGTCGAGATAGGAAACATTGTAATGAAGTCCTTATGGAAACAATCAGTAGAAGTACACTGAAGTGGCTTCTGCATTGGAGGACTGAGCACACATGGAAATGCCCAGTGTGCATTGACGTCGATTGTGATAACATAACTGTTTTTCTTCTTCGTGGATATGTAGAGTGACGTAGTGTTCTGTGACATGCAAGTGTTAACACTACTTTTTCTTTCCTGCAGAGGCCGCAAGCGCTTTGTGTCTGAAGGGGATGGCGGGAGAGTCAAGGATTCCTGAGTGGAGGGGGCTAGACATAACAAAGTTAGTACAACTGGATTTGAGACATGACATTCAGGGATACTTTGTGATTGAAGGATTGAGTCTTGTAAGAAAACACCCCAAGGAGATTGGGATAGCAGTTGATGCTGATTTTATTAATGTTGTAATGTTATGCTAGCAACACTAATCATATGTTTTCTGAATATTATTGTTACGTTGTTTCAAAGTATGGAATGCCATGATTTCATCAAAGATGTTCCTGTGAATCAATTTGCCCATTTCTGTTACATTTGTGTTTCCATAAATTCTGATTTCTTTGGAGAGTAGTAGATATTTATAGTACCTTCAGGATCCTGAAGCTGTGCATGAGAATGTAAGCACGTCACATGTTAGTTTTTCTCTCTTTGCTTTTTATTTAAAGGAAGTTTTATTATCATTGACTTCATGGTCACATGTCTAAAAAGCCCTTATTTAAATGATTCGTCTAATCTGTGTATGCAGTCTATGATTTTGGAGCCACATCAGAAATTATAACAAGAAACATTTCAGTGTCATTTAAAATTGCTGTTCATTTTCATGATTTTCATACATGATCAGGTGTCTTCTGACTTCTGCAGAGTTAAAAGTATGAGCAAGGCTAGATAGTTTGCACTTATTTTACTGTTAGGAATGGTTATAGGTAGTTCTTTCTTTCTTTCTTTCTTTCTTTCTTTCTTTCTTTCTTTCTTTCTTTCTTTCTTTCTTTCTTTCTTTCTTTCTTTCTTTCTTTCTTTCTTTCTTTCTTTCTTTCTTTCTTTCTTTCTTTAATTTTGTTTAACTCTCTTCCTTCTCCTGGAAGTATCTTTAGGTGTTTTTACCACCTTCATTGTCTTTGTAGTTAGTTAATTAAATGAAATAAGATAATTTTGTGGTTACTGTGTTTCCTGTTATTTTCACAGTGTTACAGTTTGTAAACAAGTGTCAGCTATTCAAATGGAATAGATTTGCTCATAAAAGTACCTTTGTATCTTTAGGGTTTGTTTCAAATCTAAACAAGAACCACATGGTTATTAGATTATATCATGCTGTTGTTGACATGTTTTTTGTTGTTATTGCTTGTGCCATGTGTGAAAAAATAAGTTGTAACCAGTCATTTTATGCTTACATGATAACCTGAAATACTTGTCGAGTAAATTCGCTGTATGATTATTCCATGTTCAGAAACATGCTGTTGTATCAAATGAGTTCAAAATAATTATCTTTTATTTTTCTGGTAAGTTTAATTCTGTGTTTTCTAACATGCTGTAGAATAAGATAAATTCAGTATTTCATTAGCTTGTATCTGATTCTTGTATGATAAGTGTAATTCATTCTTTGATACTTTACTTCAGCATCTAAAATTGAATTCAAAGTCCTTTTTTTAGTGTGGCATGCTAAGCCCTTTTTCGTCACCTCTTATGACATCCATTATAAGTTACGCTGCCCCTGCTGAAGAGTCTCAGTAACACTCAGGCAGTGTCGTTTGGTCTGTGTAAATATTGGGCCAGCCAGTCCAGATGTACAGAAGTGAATCTGGACAGTTATCTGATTACAAAGAAATTATCTGGAAGCAGCAGAGATGATTTATAGATGAATAATAAGATCCCCTTGGACCGATAAAAATATTAATGAATATGCCCTGAAAGAAATTAGAAAAAGTAAAAAGTAAAGGATCCTCTTCCACGCCTTTGGTCTTACAGGGCTGGATCTATATTTTATAGACCGGTTGGCACTCAGTGGGTGACAGAAATTAGCTAAACAAAAAACTGATTACTCACATCAGAAGTAAAGTAAAGATCCCTTTTTACACCTTTTAGGCGCATCAAGCATATGGGAAGAGCACCCATATTTTTACAGACCAATCAGCAAAAGGTGGGTATTTGGTCAGCAGTACGCCGGCCGTCTCTACTTCCCCAAGACATACATCCGGGTGACTATTTAGGCTGTGTCAACCTGCAACGCCCATATCACACACACAAAATCCAACAACCTGCAGTGGGTTTCGATTGCAGTACGTTGGAACTACGATTCGGACTAGCAACACCTAAGCCATGGACCCCGTACATCAAAAGGAGACAGGACAAAAATAAAACAAAGGAGAAACAACACACCCATTTATTTTCATTACCAGAAATCAAAACACTTATTAAGGGAAAATACAAGAAATTAGGGAGAGAACAAACCAACAGTAAACATGCTCAAGACCCAATCAGCAGGCTCAGCAGAAAGCAGTATACAACAGTTTTCTGTCTACAATAAGGACACTGCAGGCTTAACTACCACATGCATAAAATAAAGACTTTGCCTGTCAAACGGGACCACAAACACCTGAGCACATTCTGCAGACCTGCCCACTCTATCTACAACTTTGAAAAGAAACCTGGCCTCAAGAGCAAAATGTGCACAGCAAGCTATGGGGAACTATGAAGGATCTGCAGCTGACATAGAGGTAACCCACCTGAAGAAGGAGGAGGAGACAGTTTACATTCATTGGCACATTATAAGAAAACGTATGTCATGATAATAGGAGATTGAGGGAAGAAAAGAGAGAGAGGCTGAGATGGATGGTTAGATTCATTGTACATGGAAAATCCTCTGTGTCAGAAATGGTTATACGTACTCATGACAGAATATTGTTGATGGTTATTACCTGTCTACACAGTATGGGCTTTGAGAATAAGAATATGGTAAGGTGTTGAAAATGCTCTTTTGATTGTTACTTTATGTCACATCCAGTCTTTCATGACTCCACATTTAACCTGGGTATAAGAAGAGGAAACAGGGTAGACCAAGAAAGACCTGGATTCAGAGTTTGGCTCACTAGATGGGTCTTAAAAATGAGATCATCAAGTCCACTTTTTAAAAAAAAGCGATGTTTACTTTGAACATTTTATCTTAAAATACTGTAAGACAGAAGCATATTTTCTAATGTTTCTCCTTGTTTACTGTTTGTATTTTCTTTCGCCAAGATTCCTGGATGCATTTGGTTTAGGTATCACAGTATATTGGAGCTCTTTTCTCATGTCTTGCTTTGATTCTTCTGTCTTGTTTGTTCCAAAAAGGATTTGTTCCAAAAAGGATTTGTTCCGAAAAGGACCAGGGGATAGAAATTACCAGTCATGCATGTTCTGTGACCTTGTCTGTGCAGTTGGTGAAATCTGCTTGTAAAAAGAAAATCTACCAGCATAGAAGCAACTCAGCTATACCACACAGCAAGAATACTACACATGCTGTAGTGAAAAAGAAAAACATTCAGAAAGGGCGGTTGATTATGCAGTATCCAAGTTCAGAAAATGTCAGAGCATCCTGAAAAGAAATGAGCATAGAATCACCAGACAGGCACTGAAATGAGAAATAAAGGGATTCAAGAGGGCCAAAAGAAAAACGATTTAAAAAAAACGGTTATGCGAGAGGCCAAAAAGTACTGGACTGGACTCCATCCTTGATGTTGAATTGATTGCACAGGATAGAATGGAATGGAGGAACAGACTGTGAGCCCTGTGGGACATATAATGGGACAACAGGTTAATGAGTAAATGAATTTTCAGCAAAAGTCTTCGTTAAATACAACCAACTCCAGCACAACTTCTTTTAGGAATAAGATGGGTTTGCCTGTTCAATCTCTTTACTCTGTGATGACTCGGTCCTTGGTGTTCTGGGTCGATTCTGTTTAAAATATTTGTCCTGCCACTGCATTAGACCATCCCAGGCTTCTGTCATTCTCTGCCATTGACCTTTCTTCATTGTTGTCTTCTTTTGCGTTTATCCTTAAAAAGTTCAGTTGGCACTTTGTTGCAGCTAGGTAGTGATATTTGTGCCTTTTTGGTCAACACAATCTTTTTCAGCAGACCATTAAGTAGTCACCTTTTATAATATGCTTATGGGAAAGGGGTGAAGGGGTTGTGTTGTGTCCCCCCACACCTGAAATGGGGCCACAGAACTGGTATGTGGAACTGACTTTTCTAGTCATCACAGTGTTGCTTACCAACACATGACCAAAGAGTGCTGTTTATATCTTTTTGATCCATGAATATAATGTTCTACTTTCCATAACTTTTTAACAGTCATTAGGTCTGTGGTAGTCAAAATACTCAGAGAATTTGTCGCAGAAATCACATGTTCACAATATCCAGTCTTTCCTTTTTTGGTTCTACGTAGGTACTTACATTCATAAGGTTACTGCAGTATTTGCAGATCTAAAGATTGTGGGTGCATGATGCCAGGATTTTTTTCCCAGACATGATTTTGGCTCCCAGGTCGACCGAGTCCTAATGGATACCAGATAAAAATCCTGGAGGTAAAGCAGTCGACATGATCCTGACCACATCACCCACGAGTTCTGATTGGTCTGTAAAATGTGAGTCTAGCCTTATATGCCCAGTGCGCCACCGGCAAGTAAAGGACCTTCACTTAACATACTGCATTTTTCATATTGTATGAAGAATAAGACAGCAATACACTGTTGTGACATACAGCTAAGTGTTTGTGGAGTATTTATTGTTTCTGTTAATTGTTACTGTTCTAAGCGTGGAATTTTCTTGTTTAGGAACATTGTCTTTCACATTCTTTTTTGTGTTAACTGTGTTTTGTGTGTGTGTGTTTTATAATTGGTTCTGTATCACAGGTTATTCAAATTGGTTTTAGTTTACATCCTTCTGAACTCAGTTTAATTTAATGGCTGTTTTTTTTTTATTGTTTTGTTTATGCAGTTTATCAGATTTGTTGTCATGTTTATTTATACAAAATTATTTTCATGGAATGTGTATTTTTCAGGTTTAACACTTCACAGCTTTCTTTTCTCTGAAATTTATAAAAAATTCACAGATAACTGGTTCTATTTTAAACTTTCTTAAGGCAGTTTCTTTAGTGTTTTTTTCTTTCTGTTTCTTAGATATGTTATATGCATCAGTATGGAATTGTTTTGTGTGTGGAAATTGTGTATTATTGAAGTAGTATATCCGTGTGCAACTTTTCTTCTGGTGAACTGTGTTCCTGTAAGT